CCCCAGGACACATACCTTGCCCTGGGAATCTGGAAACATATTCTTAAAGTTTCTGTTATTATTTATTTTTTTCTGTTTTTAACACTCCTTCCTTAGCATCATTTGGCCTATTTATTGTAGGGGTAGTGAAAGCAGCTGGGACATATATATTATTTAGAAATTCAAAGATCATCTCCTACTGGTAAAGAGAAACTTTCAGACTGGAAGTCTGAGTGATACAACGTGTTGTGCATCTTATGTCTTCATTTATGTGCACGTGTGTATGAAAACGGGTGCTTAGCAAGGCAGGCATCCCATCTCCCATCGGGGATGTGCTCTTGTCACACCTCTCTGTTCGGATGCGGATCCGTAAGCTTCTGGAATTGTTCTTTGTCACTGCCTGGGAGACAGTGTTGCCATGTGAGTTTTCCTGCCTCCTTTTGCCTACTTGCTTTTTACATGAATAAATTGTAATAAGCGACTTACCAAAATCTTGTGTTGCTAATGATGGGTGTGTGATTAAGACAGTATTCTAATGACCATGTCCATGTATGTAATTTCTTTTGTAACAGCAGGAGTGGTGGTGGGGACAAGCAGGTTTGAACTAACAATGGTATCCCCCATGTCAAACTTGAGATGTTCAGATTCAGAGGTATAAATTTAACCCAATAATCCTAGCAATGCTGTGAGAAAGAGAAAGAGAAAGAAAGAACATAGACACGTGCTGGAAGTAATTTAATGTGGACTTGTAACCTGGTGGATCCTTGGGGGCCAGACCTGATCTGAGGCAGTTGTCTGCTGGTCCCTGGCAGCCCATCTCCATCCAAAGTCTCCAAGGGGAGACTCCTGGATCTGTTCGTTGACTTCAGAGGGGCCCTGGAATTACCAGCTCTGGTTTCCAAGCAGCTCTTAAGTGTCTGAGATTGAGAAGAATTGCATCCTACAAATAAAAGTTCAAAAGCAATATTGGGACTTCAGTCTGGGAGCATTTGCTGGGGTAGGTAGCAAGCTTGGCTATAGAAACTGCAGCGTGTGGAGTAGCTTGGAAGGAAGGTTATGAAGCTCATCTCAGTGTTTCTGTGATGGATTTTTTTTTTTTTTTTTTTTTTATTTCATTAGAATTCAGGCAGTGCATCACAATGTGAAGAGCCCAGTTTTATTAACTTAATTTTTTCAAGTAAGGCCTTTGCAAGCCACAGGTTAGTTGACGTACTAACATTCAGCTTGAGAGGAACAAGATTCAGACCGGTGTGACTTACAGGAGAGGGGATAGCTGGAGAAAACAGACATACTTCGGGTAACGTACGTGCTTCTGGAGTGAAATAATTACGCTCGTTTTAGGTTCAGAGGCTACCTGGCTTATTGAGGGTGATACAGAAGAGGAGAAACAGGAGAAATCCCCTTGATCCGGTTCTAGCTTAATGCTTAGTAACAACAGCAATTTACAGTCCGTTGCCTTTGTGAGGCAGGGAAGGATCTCATTATCTTTGAGTTTTATGAGTTCGGTGGTGGTCTGCAGCCTGTTGGCTGTAAACACCAACTGTAATTTTCTGGTGCTAGTTTTTATCTCCCGTGTTGTGTAGATGCTGTCTCACGATGGCAGATTTGCTGCTAGATCTGTGCTGTGTTTTTCTGGAGGGTAATCTTTATTTCTTAGGAGTGGTATCGGCAGAGAGGGAGGGGAGAATTTAAAACAAGATATCGGTTGGAGTATTAAGCTTTCATTTACTTTATTTCCCCAAGTAGCTTAAAGCTTGAGGAACCTTGAGGAGTTCTTTTCCAATGAAATTAAAAAGATACCTTGCAATTAATAGTATTGAGAAGGTCAGCGAGCTATTAATGATGCTGCTGTGCATTATGAGTTGACCTCAACTTTGCTGTTTTTCTACTTAAAACACTGAAATCTGCATCGTGTGAATAATAATTCAGAAAGATAAATGAAAGATAATGCAAACAAACTGTCTCTTTCTCTGCAGGACTCAGTAATTGATGCTGGTCCCCTGTCAGAAGAGTTCATGTGAAGACTGCCCATGGAAGGTCGATGCCTGTGTTTGCTGAGGCTCTAGGATCCTGTTGTTTTGCTGTTTAATTAACTGAAGAGTCCAGTTTTTCCCATGAACCATCTTTCACCTCGGGAAGGTAGAGGTAAGGTTGCAGGTCTCTCTTTCTTCTTTCCTCTGGCAGCAAATGTTTAAACCTGTCATGGAGGTGGTTTTTGCTGGAGCACCTCTTCATGCGGAATTAATTACCGGGACTGCTGAAAGCAAAAGTCACTGTTTTTCTGTGTCCTTGGCATCCTTTGGGTTGTTTTCCGTACATGAGATGTGCAGTCAGCCTGCATTGCATTCGTAGCTACGAGAGTTGTTTTAAAAGCTCATAAAGATGAAATTATTGCCTGAATCAACTGTGCTTTCTCAATATGTTTTGCAAAATTGAATAGCTAATTGCTGAGGTGGCAGAATGGTATGCGAAGGATTTGTGCTAAAGAACAATATGTGGTTTGGGGAAGTCAGTGTTATGCTGTAGGTTGGCTCATGGTGTCGATCAGGTGAATTGAGTCCATAACCAGAGAATTTTAAAAGTCACAAACTTGGGAAATCAAAATGTTTTATGGCGAGGGCTACTACAACTTCCAGAGCAAGAAGTGTGTACTCAGCATCCTTGTAGCTCTTACTAGCTGATGCATGTAACGACTTGAACACTTCTGTGGTTTGCCCACAGCCGGCAATATCTTAAAGGAAAATTGTTGTAATGGAGTGGTAACTTGGAAAGACAGTAGAATATATTTAGAAATGAACAAAATGGTAAAACAAGTAGCATTTGGATGATGTGTTGGCTGCAGCTGCTGTATGGGGATTTGCCTGCCATCAAGCCTGGGAGCGCTTACTGCTGTGGACCATGAGTACCCAGCAGAGGGGAGGGCCTCTACACCTCTGCTAATTCCCCTGGAAAACCAGCTTCTAGCTGACATGCCATAAGGCAAAAATTACATATACAGCTGGTTTTGTCTGGTGGAATTGTATATTGCTTGTATCACAGTTCCCTGAGATAGCTGGTGTTGCAAGAAACTTTTGCATCGGAGCTGGTTTTGGCTGGAGTGCAATGGAAAAATGGAATATTTCCTTCTGGACTGAGCATGGCTTGCTCCTATTCTCCTCTTTGGTGTGGTGTAAACACTGGTCCCAGTAAGATACTGGTGTTGTATGTCCTCTATAGGTTGCTTTGGACCCCTGGTTTCTGTCCTTGAGTTGGCTCCTTCCCTAAACGGTGGTGGGATGATCTCTACAGGAGGGATGGGGTGGTGGTAGCTGGGGTGCCATCCCCCCTCGCCTTCATGTGTCTGGCTGCCTAGTGTTTGCCCTGTGTTTTGGGGCAAAGCTCTTTGCTTTCTGCCTTGGTGTCTTCCATTTGTAGTTCAAATGACAGCAGTAATTAGGCATGGTTGTAAAATTTGGAAATAATATCATTTCTGTATTGTTGTGTGCTGTCCTGACTGTTGGCTTGGAGTTGCCTGGATGGAGAGGAGCTGGGGTGCTGCCGGTGAGTGGTAAGAAACCAGTAGAGCCCCAAACCAGTGCTGAAGGGCTGCTCAAAGTTAATTATTAAACTGTGCTTTGCCCAATAAATGCTCAGTTGAATTCAGGATTTTTCACTGCAAAAAGATCACCTTTCTCTATGGACATAACAGCTGTTTTTTGATTACAGAATCACAGAATATTTTTTGATTGGAAGTGGGTAAGCCGTATCACATACAAATAAAAATCTTCGTTCTTGTAACTCTTAAGACATCTTTATTTTTCTCTCTGGTATCTGACCAGATTCAGATTTTGAAGAGTTGACCTCGCAGGGTGGTGGTGGGTTCTCCCCACTGCTGACCTGCTTTCCAGATGCTGATTAATACTTGCCCAGGCTGGAAGCTTGCAAATCGAGGGTCCTGGGCTGGAGCGTGCCGCACGCTGGGCTGTACACAGCTTTTCTTCTTTATTTTCTGCTTTTCTTCCTCCCTCTCCAAAGCAATCAGTACAAATCACGTGCCCAGCAGTGGCCAGGCTTTATCTGAGACATCAGGCCGTTTGGTGGATGCAGCCCAGGCAAGTAAAGGAATACATTCTTACCTATGAAACTGGATATCGTTGCGAGGAGGAAGAGTGAGTTCTAGATATATTTTAAGGGTGAGGTGCCTCCTCGGCTGCTCTGAATTTCCCCTAATTTAGGGGGCTGACGGGCTAGCCCCTGTAGTTGCGTAGGGGGAGCCCTGCCTTCATCCCACCTGGCACCTCCCAGCCTTTCCTTATTTTTTTGTTTCCCCCCACCTGTCTTATTAAATTTCATTCTTTCCTCTAGCAAATGGACTTTTTGGCTTGGCATGAAATCTGGTTGCTGTGATTGAGTTCCCATCCCCTTTATCCTGTGATGGGGCTTTGAGATGAAAAAATGTAAATGCAATCGCCGAGACGCTCCCTCCCCCACCCTAGCCCTAGGTCTTTGCTGAGCTGAAACTCCCTCTTTATTCCTTAATGATCATATTCCTTCCACTTTAAATAGATTTCCTGCTGTTAACAGCGTTTTCAAGTATTGCAACACTTTATAAATGGTATCTCGTGAGAGATATTTACCGTAGGTGAGTTTCCTTGAAGTCGTAACCTCTGCCTTGCCGTTCCCTTTTCCCGGGGGCTGCTGGTGGGGTAGGAAGGACACAGATGACGGGCTTGGCAGTCATCATACTTCTAAATCAACTGTTCTGCTACCTCTTTGTTAGTTTTTGAGAGGGATGTTGTTTCAGCCATGTGTTTGAAATGGAGTCCTGCTGATCAAGACAAAGATACACGCAGCACTTTCGGGGACTTGGGAAGAAGAAATCCCAGACTTGTCTCGTCATGTGTGAATTAAAGCCATTGGGGCACTCCTGAAGCTTTGCTTTTAAAAAGCAGAGAGCATAATCAAACCAACCAGAAATCCCCACCATGCCCACTGGAAAAGGCTCTCTAGGTTGCCTGGTAGAGAACAGACAGGACAACCACTGTAGACCGGGTGCAGGGAGAGGTCTGAGACTTCTGCCATTTGCAGAGGACACCCATCAACAATATCACATCTCCAAATCAGACTCCTTGTACTTCTGTTGGCCAGCCTGCAGCCACAGTAACAGGAGAGGTGTTTCTCTCTTTAGGTGGCCAAATGCAAATGCTGCAGTTGAGTCTTTTTGTTTTTTTGGTGCTGGCTTTGTTTATTTTAGAAGAAAAGTTAGAATAAGCATGTGGAGGCCCTCATTCATATTTGTCCTGAAGGTGTTTTAGCCAGCTGGCACTAGCAAGAAAGTTTATATTAAAAGCATTCACCCTGTTCAAGGTGTTTGAGACTTAACTGAATCTCCCCCCCCCTGTTTTCTTTTGATTTGCTCATTTGATTCTGCTGCAGTCCTTGTTTACATAATGTTGAAATACCTCTTTCTGTTAAATGTTTATATTAGCGGCACCTGCACCATGCTAAAGACAAAAGTTTCAAGCATGTGCTGAGAAGAAAACAGTTGATGGGATTTCAGATGTCTGCTAGTGCGAAATTAAGGAAGAACTGTTTTGATACGGTGCTGGTTGTAGTTTCACAGCTGAGAACTCTTTCTGTTCCTTTTTTTCTAAAAATACCATTAGATGTTCTGGTTTTCACATGTAAATCCTGTAGCTGGCCAGTCAGATTTGGTGTTTTGTTTATACAGAAAGAACGAGACACGCACCCCTTCCATTAAGTAGAACTTCTGGTGCTTAGCTCCTTCAAAGAATTAAAATGTTTTAAGTAAGGATTTGATCATTTTACGTTAAACTTTGCTTCCCAGCAGCTTTGATTAGATCTATTTTGACTGCTTTGTTTTAATATCCAGATTACGGTTTTGCTTATCTTTTGGAAAGAAACACTTCATCCGTTTGCCTTTCTACTAGAAAATTTTAAGCAAATGCACCTTTTTCTTAGGCTTTCACATTTCTACCCAAATCCAGCCTAATTCTTTGACCGTGACCAGACAGCAGCTGCAGAAACCCTGCCGAGATCTGAGATATCATTGTCTCTCCACTGTCGGTCACTACCTACATGGCAGAGCTGGTGGCTTCCATGAGTTCATCCAACAGCACGGTTCTTGTGAACACTTCTCATCTGCTCCAGGCTGGGCTGAGCCCTCTCCAGTGGCTGTTCAACACGAGCTTCTTGTGCTGAAGCAAGTGAGAAACGCTCACATGAACTCTTCAGCGTGGGATCCTCTTCACAGCCAACCGGGGGACGGGAACAGCTTGATCTGCTGCAGCCACTTCTGCCCTGATCTATTTATCATCACCTTTAGTGTGCAGCGTGCACGCAGGTTGTAACCCCTTCCTTCACCCCTGCGGTGCTTTGTTGAACAACAGAAGCTTAATCCGTTGTTGTCTCCAGCCCCACCATGTAGGTGCCTCCCGTTGTGCCAGAGACAAGGTGGAAACACGTTTCTGTCTTGGCTGAGCAGGATCGTAGTCAGCATCCAACAGGACAGTAAATGACGCTGGATGTGTTAATGGCTTTTTAGTCTGCTGGGTTCTCTGCTGCCCTCGAGGAATTTCTACTTCCTGGGCCACAAAGATGATGTATCGTTTAATTGAAAACCACACTCAAGTGAGTCTGTCAGTTTTGGGGACTTAACGATTTGGTTTGCCTAATGGAATATTTGCTGTACAAGCCCTTCCTGTGGATGTAAGGTTATAAATCGGTCCCTATTTACTTTCTTCCACTGTTTTATCTATTTTAATGCTTCTTTGTCAGTTTGTGTTAGCTACTGCTCTGACCTTCTCAAGGGCACCTCTTCGGTGTCGGGCTTCCTGTTGGCTGTCAGCTCTCTGGAGGTGAGACAGTAGTGATTGCTGATTCTCCCTGCAAGATACACCTGTGGTTGCTGCCTCTGTAAGCCAGAGAAGTATGAGAAATTCTACCTTTTTTTTTTTTTTTTGTTCACAGCAGGTGATCCAGAGGTTGGCAGGATTAGAGTCACCGAAACACACAATGGTTTGGGTTGGAAGGGACCTTTACAGATAATCTAATCCAACTCCCCTGATGTAGCAAGGACATCTTTCACTAGATCATGTCGCTCAAAGCCCCGTCCAACCTGACCTTGAACCCTTCCAGGGAGGGGG